CCCGAACCCAAACCCAAACCCAAACCCAAACCCAAACCCAAACCCAAACCCAAACCCAAACCCAAACCCAAACCCAAACCCAAACCCAAACCCAAACCCAAACCCAAACCCAAACCCAAACCCAAACCCAAACCCAAACCCAAACCCAAACCCAAACCCAAACCCAAACCCAAACCCAAAACCTAACCCAAACCCAAACCCCAAAACCCCCAAACCCTATTAACATCAATTAGAGTCTAGAATATCAGGTTTCATGATGTATAATCAACAATTGATATCATGGCCATATTTCAATTGAGATTAGACATTGCAACATTTCCCAAATTGGAAATATAGAATATAAAATCATGAAACCAATTATATGTCGATAAAATACATAGATATACGATATTATCAAATAAAATATATGGGTCCCTATTGAAAGTGTTTACCTGGTAAAAAGTGAGCGTAATTTCCCCAACTTTCATCCTAATTGATTATCTCCCTATATATATGATAAATTTCAATTATTTCAATTACATATCATAAAACATGATAATTAGACATGTATCAATGAGTGGAATTAAGTCATGTAAGATATTCATCCTTCTATTACAAATATTGTCAATTTCACACAAGTTGACTTCCACAAGTCTGAATATGGTTCCAAACATGATTATTTCAATTATATATGATTATCATTGGTATTTGCTACTATGTTAATGAGTTTTATTGAATGTTATAGTGTTTCCATAGTATGGCTCAATATCTTGGTCAATTAAGGTAGAATGAGTACAGTATACTAAGGATAATATATATTATACTTCCAACAATTCTACAAGGTAGATATCATCATTATACATCATATATATGAGATTGATGATGATTATAATAATATTCATATTATAGTACAATAAATGTTGAAAAGTTAATTATTAGACAAGTTGTAATTTTTACATATACCGATTCAACATGATTAATTCATAATATCATCTATTCATCTATATATCTACAATATAGTCAAATTTACATTCCAACTCAACTTTGAAATTTCAGACCCAACAGGGTAAAAATCTTTATGTTTTAAGCAGTGCCTTATAACTTTTTCTAGACTTTATATTTTTCAAATATTTTTGTGATTATAGTCAACTCATATGTGTATCTGTCATACTTGAAATGATTGTGTTCCAAGTCATACTCGTTACTAGGAAATGAAAAATAAAAGTTAAGCACTAGTTTTCAGAGTTGATTTTCTGAATAAGTACAGTGAATTAAAATTCCATTTCTTTTTTATTATATAGTGTACAACGTCTAGTATGATATTGGTAAAAGTCAATTTGCAACAATTGGACAACTAAATTTGGGTAATGGATTTACCCTACAGTCTCCCAAACCCAAACCCAATTTCACTGAAATTGATATCATGGTATGTAGACACTCTAATTAGTATGTGGTATCAATTTCATGAATATTGGTTCAGTAGATGTCGAGATGTCAACTCTATCAATTTACTATAGACATTTTACATAATATCATAGATTATACTCCAACTCACTCATTTTACATATAATAAGTCTAGAATTGATACCACATAGTCTATATATCAATTAATATACATCTACAATAGTTAAGAAACATTTCAAACTATTTTCATAAAATTAATCAGTAAATGTTCAATATCAAAATTATATATATCCTAGTGAACACTCCATCTCAGTGAAATTTATTCCAATCAT